ATGCCAAAATATACACTGGAGGAAAGACAGCATCTTCAAACTAGTGTTGGGAAAACTGAATACCCTCATGTAGAAGAATGAAATTAGACCTCTATCTATTACCCTGAATAAAAATCAACTCCAAATGAATCAAGGACTTCGATGTGAAACCTGAAACTGAGAGGAAAACATAGCAGTACCCTTCGAGATACAGGTGCAGAAAAGGACTCTCTGAATTAACACTCCATTTGCCATCAATTGACAAATGGGGCCTCATTAAACTAAAAAGCTGTACAGCAAAGGAAACAATTGAGTGAAGAGGAAGCCTAGAGAGTGGGAATGAATCTTTGCTAGCTATGCATCCAATAGGGGATTAATATCCAGAATATACAAAGAATCAATGAAACAACCAACTGAAAAAAATGGGCTAGGCTTGGAATCTGAACAGTGAGTTCTCAAGAGAAGAAATAAAAATGGCTAAGTATCTTTAAAAATGTTCAACACCAGGGCTAGAGAGATGGCTCAGCGGTTAACAACAGACTGTTCTTGCAGAAGACCCGGGTTCAAATCCCAGCACCCACATGGCAGCTAACAACTGTCCGTAACTCCAGTTCCAGGGGATCTGACAGCCTCTTCTGTTCTCCACAGGCATTCATTGTACAACATGGGTGCACTTACCTATGTGCAGGCAATACATGCATACACATAAAATAAAAATAGTAGATATTTTTTTAAAAAGTGTTCACCATCAGGGCTGGAGAGACGACTTAGAAGTTAAAGAGCATGTCAGGCTCTTCCAGAGGACTGGGTACTATTCCCAGCATCTGCATGGCCAACAATAGTCTGGAACTCCAGTTCCAGTGTGGTACACTTATGTGCACAACACTCATACATACACATAAAAATATTCTAAAAAACACTTTAAAAAGTGCTTAACATATTTAGCAATTAGGGAAATGTAAATTAAAACTACTTTAAGATTTCATCTTTCCCTTGTCAGAATGGTTGAGATTTCAAACAAACAAACAAAAAAAAACCTGACAACAAACTGACAAAAATGCTGAGAAAGGGGACACCTCATTCACTGCTGCTGCAATTGCATCCTGGTGTGGAGAATTCTCAAAACACTAAAAGTAGATCTACCATATGACCCAGCTATGCCACTCCTTGGTGGCATATACCTGAAGGACTCAATGTCCTACTAGAGAGATACTTGCTCGGCTATGGTCACTATTACTCTTTTCACAATAGCTAGGAAGTGCAGACAACCTAAATGTCCTTCAACTTCTGGATAATGAAAATATGGTACATAAACACAATGTAGTTCTATTCACCTATAAAGGAAAATGAAATAATGGAATTTGTAGGTAAATGGATGGAACTGGGAAATATACTGAGGTAACCCAAACCCAGAAAGATACACATACTGTCTCATTTATGGTTTCTAACTCCAAATCTTTAGATGTGAGTATATAACCTGAAGTAACTCAGAAAAGAGCATGGCTCAGCAGTTAAGAGCACTGACTACTCTTGCAGAGGAACCTGGGTTCGATTCCCAGCACCCACATGGCAGCTACAAACCATCCTTAACTCCAGTTCCAGGGGAATCTGAAGCCCTCTTCTGATCTCCGCAGCATTGCATGACATGGTGCACTCACATACATGCAGGCAATACACATAAGATAAAAATAGTATTTTTTAAAAAGAGCTTTTCCCAAAGGTGAAAATTCCTTTCCCAAAGCATAAGCTGTGATGCCCCCGTTTCTTCAGGGCTTCATTTTCTGAAGGAAGATATATGCCTAAGCTCTGGACAGTCTCTCTCTAGACACCTCCTCAATTTTGGATATGCCTCCTTCAACTACAATGCCTTTTCCAGACTTTTTAGTCTTACAGCTAATCTCAAAGCAATAAAAATATATGTGACAGCTCCTTCCAGGAAAATGTGGAGTCAAATTCTTCTACTTTTGAGCATTTGTACTTTAGTCCTTTTTAACCTCTTTGTGCTTCAGTATCTCTAAGTTAAATACTCAGAATAAGGGGCTGGAGAGATGGCTGAGTTAAGAGCACTGGCTGCTTTTGCAGAAGACCCAGGTTTGAATCCCAGCACCACACGGTGGCTAACAACCACCTGTAATACCAGTTCCAGGGGATCTGACGCCCTCTTCTGTCCTTTGCAGGCACTGCATGACATGGGTGCACTTAAATACATGCAGTGTTACATGAGTGTTACTCATACACATAAAAGAAAATCCAAAAAAATTAAAACTACTCAGAATAGCCGGAAATGGTGGCACAGACCTATAAATCCAAGCATTCAAAATGCTAAGGCAGGATGACTGCCATAAATGAAAGGCAACCTGGGCTACAAGGCCAACCAGGACTACACAGCAGGATCCTGTCTATAAATAAAAACTATAAGGTTTAAGTATGAGATACATGAAAGTACTCTAAAATAGAGTATTTTCAGTTAAGAATCTTAAGTTTAAGGACATTTGAGATGGGATGGGAGAGGGGTTGAAAGAAAATATTTCTTGTTTCAGAAAAACAGACCATAACCCATGTTGTATTTCCTTTTTTGTTTCCAAAGGTCATTTCTTCATTAGATATGATGATATACTTTAGTGCTTTGTGCCTGCAAATTTCAAGACATCTTCATCTAAATATCTTCAAGACTTCATGTCAACAAGCACCTGAACAGGTTCACAAGCATATTGACTGACTAGTAGCCCAAGGAAAAGAGGAGAAGCAGTTAGGGGAACCTATGAGTGAAGGAAATCCCCCTATGCAGGAGGCTAGTATACTATCTCATAAGGTTATGTTTAAATGTGCATAAATCCTACAGATTCCATTTCGTCTACTTCAGTAATGAATCCCTCATGTTGTTTTTATTATACACATTATCAGTGTAATCCAATCTATGAATTAGAAACAAGAGCAAAAAATATATTTGAATCCTGAAGATAGTAAGAAACTGAACTCTTATAGTTCTAAGTAGTGCTGTTTCTATAAATCAGACTCAGGGTTCAAAAAATTACATAAAAATTCAGAACTTAAAGAACTTTTAAGTCTTAGCATTGACATTTTGACTTGATCAAGCTTGGAAAGTGAGCTCATAATACTAGGTATATAACTTATAATACTATAATTGAGCCAAGTGATATTTTGATAAGTTTTTACATACTATTGTTCAAAAGAGGTATGCTAATAATTACTATGTTATAGAAATAATTTAGTATAATATCTAGAATTTAAAGGGGATATGAGAATTTGTTGTAATTTGTATTTGGTCAAAGAAATTTGTTGTACTGGTTCAGAGTATATGTACCTTTGAGGGTAACTTGTTCTTTGCTAGTCCACAAGTTAAAAGTTCACTGTCTTGAAAAAAATAGACATTAAGTTCCCTTTATGGAAAAACAAGAAATAGCTAAACTAATTGACAGGAAACTGGTAAATTTCTTAAAGATTGAATAGTACTTAGGATTTATATTCCATGTTGGAGACAGAGCTAAGCAGAAGAATGAATGCTTAGCGTGGGTGAAGCCCTGGTTATCTACCAGCACCCATCCCACAAAAAGAAAAAAGTATTAAAGGACTGAACTGTCCTCTTAATATCAAATATTTGCTAATGGTAAAGGACTAATTTCTTAAGATTAAAAAGTTACATAGAATTGTTTTTAAAAACTTGAAAACCAGGCTGAAGAGAACTGAATGTTCTTACAGAAGACCTGGGTTCAAATCCCAGCACCCACATGGCAGCTAACAACTGTTTGTAACCCAAGTTCCAGGGGTCCGACACCCTCTTCTGACTTCCGTGGGCATTGTATGACACAAGTGCACTTACACACACATGCAGGCAATACACACATACACATAAAAATAAAAATAATAAAATACTTAAAACCTTGAAAATCTTAATATAAGAATGGGTTGTAGAAAAAAAGTAGAATTTAAAAAGCAAGGCGAGATTGTTTTGCTTCTAATGGGCATATTTTGTTCTAAATGATTTATTGAAGGCAATTTCAGCAAAAACTAGTAAGTTTAAGATTTAAAACATTGAAACAATTTGGGCTAGAGAGATGGCTCAGCAGTTAAGAACACTGACTGTTCTTGCAGATGACCCAGGTTTGAATCCCATCACCCACATGGCAGCTAACAACTGTCTGTAACTCCAGTTCCAGGGGATCTGACAGCCTCTTGTATCCTCTGTGGGCACTGCACGACACGGGTGCACTTACACACATGCAGGTAATACACTCATGCATATAAAATATAATAAATATTAAAACAAACATTGAAACAATTTAAAATTTATTATTAAACCAAGTGTTTCCTAAGTTTCTGTGTAAATGCCCATTTTAAAGGACAGTGTATAAAAATTAAAAATGATTCAAGTTTACAAATGAATGTGAAATCAAATTTCAATGTATTTACTGAACATTAAAATTGAAAAAAAAACATCTAGGTAATTTATATTTGAAGAAAAATATAAGGTACTTAAACCATAAATAACTAACTATGTTTGTGATATGTTCTTATCGTTACTAAGGGTATGTGTCATTTAACTACAGACGAAGCCCAATTAAATATTTTGATGACTTTGCAGAAATGAAAGTCATAAATCCATGTCTTAAAATATTTATAGGCCTTTTCAGCTGTATTAATGATTTCGGTGTTTAATTTGTTCCAAGACACAAATTCTTTTAATTTTATAAGTCAACAGAAGAGATTCTCTTTTCTTAGAATTGGCTATATATTATTTTAGTAACTATATAAAGATGTAAAATATTTTAGTAACTATATAAAGATGTAAAATAGATTTTGTGTGTTTTTTCCTCAAAGAACAGTGTAAGATAGGTATTGTGGCACACACTTGGCCTAGCTATTTGAGAGGCTGAGGTGTAAGGATCACTTACCCCTAGTTGTTTGAGACTAGTCTAGGCAAGAAGGTATGATCCCATCTCCTAAAACAACCATTATACTTGTACTTTGTACCTTGAGACTGTTAAGAGACACACTGGAACCAAAAGCCTAAATAGAAATCTTTATTGTTAAAAGTTAACAGCGGAGAGAAAAATGTACTATAACTAAAGAACTGAAAATTTAATACATAGGAATAGCTGCTACTTATCAGCTGTTTCAATGTACTCACAAGTTAAAAGGAACAGAGGTTTTGCAGTAAACAAGCTAGTGATTACAAGTATAATTTAAGCTAGAATTTCAATTCTAAAGAAGTGCCTCTTAGCTAATTTGATTGTATCATGTTACTTAGGTTCAAGTTCTTTCTTCAAAGAGTCATCAGAATAACATGGATTGAAGAGACTTTCGAACATTTGCCATCTCTTGCTGTTGCTGTTTCATGAAAGGAGATATTAAAGATGTTTAATTTTTAGTTAAGTGTTATACAAATTTCAGCAAATAAAATATTTCAGTGCTTCCATTAATCTACGTATTTGCAATTTTAAATATAACTTACAGTTTCCATCATAACTTTTTCTTGCAATATAGCCATTTCTTTTTTAAGTTCATTCTGTGTGCCAGTAAATAAACTATCATTTTTCTTCTCAACATCCATCAAGTTCTAAAACACAGAAACACTAGTTCAGTGATAAATCATAACTTTTCATCTCAGGTTCTAAATTGTAAAATTTTCAAAAAATCCTTTAATACTAAAATAATGCTCATGTATTCCAAGTTTTAAGAAAATTCTAAGTTTAAATAGAGCAATCTAGGGGCTGGAGAGATGGCTCAGTAGTTAAGAGCACTGGCTGCTCTCGAAGAGGACCTGGGTTCAATTTTCCAGCAACCACATGGAGGCTAATCAGTAACTCGTTCTAGGGGTCTCCCGCCCTCTTCTGACCTCTGAGGGCACTGCACAATATAGGCACACTTCGATACGTGTAAGCAATACACTCATTACATATAAAAATAATAATAATAAAAAAGAAAAACAGAAGTCAGCTGAGTTTTTATTAATACAAAGGATAAGAAAGTTTAATAGTATAAGCAAAGAATGCACAAGGGCACTGGTAGTAGTAATTAAAGAAAATTATAATGAACCACTGTAGTGGTAAGAATTATAGAATTTAGTAATAGTGTGAAAGATAAGGATATGGAGGAATCAAAATTTATTCTAAAGTTCTACCCTGACTGGTAACAGTGATATTAGTAAGAAATCTTTCCTAGTACCTAAGTCATACCAATTAACAAATTGTTCTCAAGGAACATTAGAGCAAGCTGACAAGTTCTGTACTTGGAAACACTTAAAAATTAACTTTTGGAGCCGGAGAGATGGCTCTTGCAGAGGACCCAGGTTTGATCCCCAGTACTCACATGGCTAACAACTGTCTAACTCCAGTTCCAGGGGATCTGACGCCCTTTTCTGACCTTTGCAGGCATTGCATGACATGGATGCACCTACATACATGCCAAGCAATATACACATACATATTAAATAAAAAGAAATATTTTTAAAAAATTGATTTCTGTGTTAATGTAAATTAAACATCTTTAAAATATTTCTTAAAGCTAATTTTTTTATTCTTTATTCTTATGTGTTTGAGTATATTGCCTGCATGTATTTAAGTATACCAGTGTTATGCCGTGCCTGCAGAGGTCAGAAGAGAGCATCAAATTCTCCTGAACTGACAAAAATGTTTAATAAAGTATGGATATGATATATGATTAAGCACATTTTTAGGTAAAATTTCCACTTTACTCTTTCCTGTCTTGAATAATTCCCAAAAAACCACTAGAATTCTACAGATACCTCTTCGGTCTAAAACAAAAATGGAAAGTTAACATTTAAAAAACATATTTCCCATAAATTTGCAAAGAAAAAAACATTTAAATTACAGTTTATGGGGCTGGAGTTAGCTCAGCAGTTAAAAGCACTGGTTTCTCCTGCAGAGGACCTGGGTTCAATTCCCAGGACCCACATGGTGGCTAACAACCATTCATAACTCCAGTTCCAGGGGAATCTGACACCCTCTTCTGATTTCTGCAGGCACTGCATGACATAGTGCAATACATACATGCAGAAATACACTCACACACATAAAGTAAAAACAATAAAATATTTAAATTATGGTTTATAAGAATGTATGTTCACAAAAAAACTACAGAAAGCATAAAAACCCACAGAAAGCTGGGAAAAAAAAAGAACCAAAAGAATGTATGCTCACTAGGTATGATGGTACACACTTTTAATCCCAGCACTCTGTGAGATTAAGGCCAGCCTGGTCTACATAGAGTTCTAGGCCAGCTGGGGCTACAGGGAGACCCTGTCTCAAAACAAAAACAAAATGTGTGTATATATACAATATATATTACTTACTTTTATGAACTGCTCATGTATCTGTTTAATTGTTTTCAGTCTCTGATTCTGAACAATTCTAGATTGCTGAAGAATCTTTTGTTGTTGTCGAAAAAGATTCTTCAAACATAAAAGAAAAAGCTGTTATAATGGGCTGGAGAGATGGCTCAGAGGATAAGAATGCTTAGTGCTATTACGAAGGAACTGAGTTTGATTCCTAGTACCCACAAACAGGCGGCTCACAACCACCTATAACTCCAGTTTTAGCAATTCTGATGACTTCTGGCTTCCATGGGCATCTACATGCAGGTAGTACACATGAAGCCATGCACAGATACACATAAAAAATAAATCTAAAAATCTGTAGTAACAATTTGGTGTTTTGTTATTGTGGGTTTCATTCATGCTAAGCAAACATCTGCCTCTGAGTTGTGTCTCCAGCCCTATTAAAATTTAGAAAAAAAAATCCTGTTAGCCTCAAAAGGCATAGTTTTAAAGTTAATACCTTTAAAAAGAAAAAAAAAAAACTCAAAACCTTTGTTTTGTCCTCAGGCTACAACATTAATTTCTTTTCCATCCTATATTCAGTCTAATCAGTTTTTCACTGATTCTTCCACCGAAATCATTCTCAGTCAGATGCCAGTGACTTCCACATGTCAAATCTCTTATTTGGCCTATAAGCAGCATATGAGATGATATGCTTTCCTCTTTTAAAAGGCTTTCTTCTGCTTGATGTAGTTACTTTCTACCCATTAGGCCACATGTTCTTTGTCTCCTTGATTGGTTCCCTCTTACCTCCAAGAATTCTAAACAATGAAGTATTCCAGAGATCTGTCCTTAGACTTTTCATTTATATGTATAGTCAACTCCCTTGATAGTTTAATCTAGGCTTCATGGTTTAAAAACTGTAAGGGGCTAGGGAGATAGCTTAGTAGTTAGGAACAGTGGCTGCCCTTGCAGAAGACCAGAGTTCTGTTCCCAGCACCCACATGGCAGCTTACAACCATTTGAAAGTCCAGTTCTCGGACATCTGATGCCCTCTTCTGGCCTCTACAGGCATTGCATGCATACAATGCACTTATATATATGCAGGCAAAACACTCATAAAAAGAAAAAACTATAAGCTGAGATTTCCCAACTTTGTATCTTTAGCTCATATCTTGCTCCTGAACTCCAGAATATAGCTATTAGCTTAGTCAACCTCCTCTTAGAGATTCATGTTCATCTCAAATTTAGAACTGACCTGACCAACCAACCCCAAAATTATTTGATGGCAATACCTCAGATATCAGATTTTAAATGTTTGATAAGTATAACCATATTGAAATAGTGCAGTTAAAAATTAGTGGATAACCTTCAATTACCAGTTGGGGATGGAGAGAGAATGCAATCTGATCATTAAGAGTTAACTATGTTCTGGGATGGGGGCTATAGCTCAGTGACAGTGTACTTTGTGTAGTTTGCACAAGGCCCTAGCATTCAGTCCCCAGCACCTAAGAGGGAAAAAATGAAGTAAAAACTAATGTTCTGACTACAATGATTGGTTCAGGAATGAGAAAATGATCCACACTCAGTTAGTGGTATTTCTCCATAGTTTTCTGCCAAAGCTATTTGAAAGACTGAGTCTATGCAGTCACTAAATTTGCATTAAGTCTAGAAGAATTAACATAATACTTTAAACCTATGGAGAACTAGCAGCCGAGCCCAGATGACACTATTATAATAAGCAATTCTTTCTCTACCCCCATTCAATTGTCTAAAGTTAACTTATCCCCAAATTTTATAGAAACCCATAATCTTTTATCCTTTGAAAAGTTTTTGCTGCTTAGAATTACTAGGATCTCAATTCATGTAATATGACCAAATCTTTTAAGAGTAGTATATTGTGCCCATCCTTCTGTGGTTTATGATTCAGCAGTACTAAAACATACAGTGCACAATGGGTAATCAAACATGGCACAGTTCTATGGGTCTAATACATGGCGAGGTTCTCTAGTTATAAAGTTAATTGTGATACCAACAATTAGTTTTTCTTCTTGTTCCTCAAATTTCTGCATATCCAAGTCCCACTGCTGCAACAAACTCGTAAGCTGCTGAGAATATTCACTGTTAAGCTTCTTCCTATGAAAATAATGCATGCTGTCACATTTCATGCCAGTGTGAAAAGAACATTCAAAACAAATTCAATTAGTACATTTTATACTATAAAAAGGAAATAATGGTTTAATTATTCTGATAGGAAAACAAATAAAATTAGTTACATGGATTCCAGAAGTAATTTTCCCTAACAGAAAAGTCTTCTCACATATTTTAGCTCTTGAAAACTTTTATCATGTATCAATTGTCCAGAAAAAAAAATCACTTTATTTTCAAACAGGTTTTCATTTTTCTACTGAATACAGAGGTTCTGATAGATTAAATGATTTCATTTAGGGTTTTCCCCCCATTTTGTTACAGCAAAGATTTAGCACAAAGGAACAGTCAAGTGAGTTAAAATATATAAATTATTTACAATATAAAACTAACCTTTTTGTACATTTTCAAGCATAGTTATTAATAGTTTTCATGACATCTACATCTTTTACTCAACTAATATATATATATATATATCTCCACAATGACTAGGTTAATAGTAATCTCCCAATCAGTACATAAAAAAATTGCCAGGCATGGTAGTGCACGCCTTTAATCCCAGCACTCAGGAGGCAGTCAGGCGGATCTCTGTGAGTTCAAGGCCAGCCTGGTCTACATAGTGAGTTCCAGGACAGCTGGGGCTACAGAGAGACCCTGTCTCAAAAAGACCAAAAAAAAAAAGAAACAAAGAAAGAAAAATTAATCTTCATTGACATCTAAGAAATATCTTAATTCTATGAAGGCAGGAGGAAAAAAATCAAGTGAAACATTTTCATGAAAGACTCCAATAAAGAAGATACTATTTATCTCTTTTCTTTTTTTTTTTTTTGATCTTTATGAGACAGGGTCACCTTGTAGCTACAACTGGCTTGGATTCACTATGGAGACCAGGCTTGCCTCTAACTCAAGAGAGATTCCCTTGCCTCTGCCTCCCAAGTGCTGGGATCAAAGGCATACGCCACCACGCCTGGCAAGAAGATACTATTTTTCAAAAGTTACTTGCATCAGTACATATTAAGAAATGATATAAACACAGCGCTTCAAAAACAACAACAAAACCCCTTACGTTTGTTCCTGTTGTGTTTTCCAAATTTGTTCAATCTTCTGGTTACTGGCTTTGAAAGAAGCTTTGGTATACATTTCTATTCTTCTTCTCTTGGCAAGAAGAGCCTTGTTAATGCCAGCTATATTGAAAACATTAACATTTAATGTTGAAGTATTTTGTTCTTACATATTCAAGTAATTATAAGTACGGGTAACATTCATTCAACACTATCAAAGACATTTAAAATTAAATTTAATGGCCAGGGAAATGGTTCAGCTGATAAAAGCACTTGCCACACAAGCCTGACGACCTGAGTTCTGTAACTGGATCCCAAGGCTGAAGGAGAGAACCAAACCTGAAAGCTATCTTCTCCCATAGTGGAAGAAGAGAAAGAATTCCCAGTTCTCTGCTCTCCACACGAGTGCCATGAGCCTGCATTCTTATATACACAAAAACATCCTACACACAATTTTAAATAAAAAAATTTAATAGCTGGGGGAGGGGATAAAAATTAATATAAAAATAGCACCACATGCTAAAGAAAAAAAAAACCCTCTATTTTTAAAAACACTCAGAATTTTAGGGAAACTCAGCCAGTGAAGTCTAGGCAAATATTCCAAAATCAAATAAATGCTGAAATCCAAAACATTTTTGTTCTGAAGTATTTTGGAATAAGAAATACCTAAAATACACAAATTTATCTCAAATCTAATTTTCCTAACTTAAGGTAAATTTTAAATTTAAGGATGATTAAAAGAAAAAAAAGTAGGACAAATGATTAAGGCTAGACTTTATGAGCAAACACAAAGGCTAAATATTTCTGTTTATAATATATCCCCTATTTGAAAGGCAATACATGCCTAAATTGTTAGAACTCACTATATGAAATACACAAAAATACTATACTAAACCACAATCCAAAAAGGATTATATAAATTTATAAAATAAATACTGTAAAATATATATGTACATCATGTGCATGAATTGTAAGAAGAGGGCATTGGATCCCCTTGAACTGGAGTTACAGATGGTTGTTAACCACCATGTGAGTGCTGGGTATGGAACCCTGGGTCCTGTACAAAAGCAGCAAGTACTCTTAACTACAGAACTCTCTCTCCAGCCTCTTAAAATACATTTTTACAAAAAGAAATCTTCATTTATTATATAGATAACCCATCTAGGAGCACTTTAAAATACTTTTATGGAAGTTTTATAGGACATACTTTACCACTAAGTACAGAAGTTCATAAGAAATTAATACTTCAAGTAATGTTTGCTAAGCATAAACAATTAACTTTCGATAATCATGATGTTGCTGTACTATCATATATTCTGTATTTTCAGCATTTATAGTAAATTTATAAAAGAAGCACTTTGTCACTACACAAGAGAGCAAGTCTTAGAGAACAAACAAAAAAACTACTTCCTGGTATGAATCATCCCTACAGGAGACAAATACCAGCCCATTTTTAAAAAGAATCTTTGGGCTGGCGAGATGGCTCAATGGGTAAAGGCACTTGCCAAGCCTGACAATTTGAGTTTGATCTCCAAGATTCACATGGTAGGAGAAAACCACTCCAGCAAGTTGTCCCCTGCCCTTCACACACATATACCATGGCATGCCCCCACCCAATATATAATTTTTTAAAGAGTGTAGTCTCTTAAACTGGGTAAGGTGACTCATGCTTGTAATCCCAGCTCCCACAAAGAAGGTTGAGAAGGATGTACCCAGTTTAAGGCCAGACTGAACTACATAGCTGGTTCCAGGCCAGCCTGAGCTAGCTTCAACAGTGAGACTGTCTCAAAAACAAGCAAATAAAAGAATATTGTCCTCTAATAAAACTCATATAACTGAGACAGCATAATATTTAAAACAAAGTCTTTGGATTTGATTATAAATGTCTTACTGGCTAGCAAGGTTGTCTTTCATTTTCAAAGTTGTCTTTCATTTTCAATTACATAATTTATTAATATAACAATGATAATTCTCTTAGAAGCTTCATTATGTCATATACTATAAAGGAAATAACATAAAAAGAGTCATAGGAAAAAAATTAGTGAAATGAAAATCTGACATACATTGAATATATCAGTCTGTGACTATATAAGAGTGTAAAAAAGCTTTTTCTGTATTTTCTTCTAAAATTCTTAAAAGCTCCATTTTTACTTTTCATATTATGGAAAAAGTTAAAATCTATGGTGCTAAGTAAAATATTTATGCAAAACCCTATGAGAACAAGGCATTAAATAACAGTCACAAAGTATACTGATTTACACTTATACAAGTTACTAAATAGTTTTAAACTCTTTTTTTGAGACAGGGTCTCCTTGTAGCCACAGCTGGCCTGGATTCACTATGTAGACCAGGCTGGCCTAGAACTCACAGAGATTGATCCATCTGCCTCTGCCTCCGGAGTGCTGGGATTAAAGGCATGCACCACCACTCCCCACCAGTTTTAAACAATTTTTAAAAATAAAAATATCTCACAGAAACATACCTCCAAATTTTTCCAGCATATTCTGTACTTCACCTCTGGGAAGAAATTACATTTAGAAACAAGTTAGCACTAGGGGTACAGTTCAGTGGTAAAGCATTTATTTGCTCTGTATGCACAAGGCCCTAGGTTTGCTCCCCAGCACTATCAAAAACAAAACAGAACCAACTCTTTTAATTAGGGATTCATAATATGTTTGTTTTGAAAGAAATGTCACATACCAAGCATTTTACATCCCTACTTGTTAGATAACCAGAATAAAATTTTCTTTGAAGTGCTTTATTGAACAAGCAAAATTTACCTTTGGGGCCGGTGAGCTAGCTCAATTAAGCGCTTGCTATGCAAGCATAAGGATCTGATTCAATCGTTATCACATAAAATGCTGTACACACACACAAACATACAAACATAATTATCTTTGAACATCTTACCCCATATCTCCAACTATTTCTATTGAAGGCCTTTTCTTCCCACGTTTATCAGCTGGAGAATTTTCTGTATTAACAATTTAAAAAACTGAAATTAAGTACGCTATTTTTGATAAATTTTAATGAGATTGCTTTTCAATTCTTTCAGGATTCTCTAACAAATTTTTAAAGCAGATATATAATGCAATATTTTCTCTGAAATATGAAATTAGGTGCACTTACATACATGCAAGGAACACACTCATACGCAAAAAATAAAAGATGAAATTCAGTCACAATTTATGACCATTTTTACAGAAGCAATTTTTCAAGTCTGGTCATAGTCATGTACTATTTATCAAGATGTTGGGACTGCAAAGGTAAGAGATGCTACATGAAGTTCTACAAGTCAGAAGATCAGATGAGAAACAAAGTATGTGAAAATACTTAAGGTTTATTCAGTTTTGACTGTAACCGGCTCAAAACAAATGAGCTGTAGGATATCATGAATGGTCAACATCAGATATGTTTTACCGGCAGCAACATCCTCTTCTGAAGCACTCAGATCCTTATCTTCTTTCTTAAAGTCAAAGGCTTTTTTAAGCTGATCCTCTGGTGGTGGCTTCCCAGATTTCCCAGAATGTTTTCTTCCACCTGGCACCATCTTTAGACGTTTCCTTATTTAAAAACAACGCCCCCAAACTCTGTCTGAATCCAAAGATATTTAAGTAAACTGATAAAATATCAAATAATTAAAAAAAAATTTTTATTACGGGTTGTGTGTGTAGTCATTACCCCAGCTCCAAGTCCCTCAATCTTTAACACCACATCCCCTCACCCACTCTGCACCTGATACTCAGTCCCTTATGCTCTAGGCCCTCCAGCCCCTAATCAATCCTTCAGTAACCCCTGATTCCACTAGCCTCCAACCCCTCAGTCCCTTAACCCCAGTTCCCTCAGGAGAACCCCAATTCCCTCAGAAACACCCCCCCCAATTCCCTCAAGAGAACTCCATTCCCTCAGAATTGCCCCAATTTCCTCAGAACCAGCCCCAATTTCCTCAACCCGCACCAATTCCCTCAGAATCGCCCCAATTCCCTCAACCCCCACCAATTCCCTCAGAACCCCCCAATTCCCTCAAGAGAACTCCATTCCCTCAGAATTGCCCCAATTTCCTCAGAACCAGCCCCAATTTCCTCAACCCGCACCAATTCCCTCAGAATCGCCCCAATTCCCTCAACCCCCACCAATTCCCTCAGAACCCCCCAATTCCCTCAAGAGAACTCCATTCCCTCAGAATTGCCCCAATTTCCTCAGAACCAGCCCCAATTTCCTCAACCCGCACCAATTCCCTCAGAATCGCCCCAATTCCCTCAACCCCCACCAATTCCCTCAGAACCCCCCAATTCCCTCAAGAGAACTCCATTCCCTCAGAATTGCCCCAATTTCCTCAGAACCAGCCCCAATTTCCTCAACCCGCACCAATTCCCTCAGAAACCCCCAATTCCCTCAGAATCGCCCCAATTCCCTCAACCCCCACCAATTCCCTCAGAACCCCCCAATTCCCTCAAGACAACTCCGCCACGTCCTCCAGTCCGCCCTCTTCCGAGCAGCCCCGAAGCTTCTGAAGCGAGCTGGGCTTCGCGCGGGAGAAAAGCCAGTCCGGCTGCAGCCAAGCTCACAGCTCATTGGCTGAACGCGCTGCGCATGTGCGCTGGCGTGGTCCCGCCCACGTGGGGGCGCTTCCGGTGCTCCCGCCTCTAGGTGGGCAAGTGCTAGGACTCTCCGGGCGGGTTCTTCCAGCTTTGTAAGAGTAAGCATATAATCTTAACAGTTGCAACCGAATGTATGAGTTAAGACCCATGATGAACGCACCACCCCGACCCGGGGAAGTAGCACCTTGCCGAGCTGTCATGTCACCCACCTTCCCGCCCGTCACCTGTTACCCTGAATTTGTGTAAATCGTTCACCTCCCACTTTCAGATGGTTTTGTTTCCTTGTTTGTTGTTTGTTTTCCGATACAGGGTCTCAGTCTGAGGTTGGCTTCGAATTCACAGCAACCTTCCTGCCTCAGCCTTCTGAAAGTGCCGACAATAAAAGTAAACCAACTACCAGTTAACACTTTTCTGAGTTTTGATAACATAGCCAGACCCTTAATACAGCATAGTTTTATTTGCACTGAGCCTTGCAACAAGCATTACGTTGTATTCTAATACTTAGCAACTCACTTTTTACCCGTTGCTATGAGAAGCACTATTATAGGTAGCCAGGAGTTTTTCACTTTCATTGCTATATAACATTCCACCGTAGGGCTAGTCCACAATTTGTTAATTGATTTTCTTGTCAATAGACATCTGGATTATTTCCAGATTAGAACCTATATAAATATTGCTATTCTGAATATTCTAATTTCTTGCATATTTGCTAATTTTTAAAAATTGTGACACAACGCTAGCTTTATTAAAGTGAATAAACACATGAAAAACAATGCTTCATGAATTTGTGTCTTTCTTGCAAGTAGCCAAAATCTCTACATATTTCCATTTTTAGTTCTGTGAAGTATGTTCTGTAAAAGAGAGCATTGTATTTAGGAGTAGCTCATTGGCTAGTAGATATTTAGTAGTGTTGTTTACAATTAGAAGAGTAAGTTTCAATTACGTGTATTCATGATCACTTGGTATTGTCAGATTTCTTAATTTTTACATTCTAAGGTGATATTTCCTTGAGGTCCCCTCTATTCACAAGATTAGGCTTGTAAATGCTTAGGGGCATTTGTTTCTCTATTTCCTTAAAACATCAGAGTTTCTTGCCCACTTTTAAATAGGATATTAATGTGTTTCTTACTGATTTATAGGTTTTCTGTTTTCTAGAAGTACTGGGACTCAAGCTCATGGCTTTCCATGCATGACAAGCACTCTATTACTGAGCTACATTTCCAGTCATTGTATTGTTTTTTTTAATCATTACTCTGAATAATAAAAATCACTCCTTTACAAGTTCTGTAAGATTATAAGTTGTAAGAAATTTTGTTTTCATTCATCTGGAATTATTTTTTGTGCCTTGTATCAAACAGGAAATCCTATTTTTTCCCCTTCATATGGAAGCTAATGTCCCATCATCATTACTAAATAGTATGTGCTCTCCCTATGAAAGCTATGCTGTATGCCATCTTATTATTTTTATGTCAAAATATTTTATTGCTATAACAACTACAGATTTATGGGATGTACTGTGATATCTGCAGACATGTAAATAATTATCAAAGCAAACTAAGTTTCCCAGTATTTTGGAGTTTATTCTTCTGCTTGTTCCACTGGCAATTTTCCCTGTATCCCTGCTCCAAAATCACATATTCATCACTCTAGCCTTACCAAAATTTTGGTACCTATTAAAAGTAATTCTCACACCTTGTTTTTCCCTCACAAATATCCTGTGTGTTCTTGAACTTCTGCTTTGCAAGTAATTTTATAAAAAGCAACCCTGAGCACAAAGAGCAATGTGGGGGAGGGGGGTTACCATACTGGATCTTAAAGTATTCTACAGAGATATAGTCATAAAACAGCATGGTACCGGCACAAAAATAGACATACACATAGATCGATGGAACATAATCAAAGACCCAAACATGAGTACAAGCAATTTCAGCCACCGGATATTTGACAAAGGGGCCAAGAACACACAATGGAGGAAAGACAACATCTTCAATAAATGGTGCTGGCAAAACTGGATCTCCGCCTGTACAGGAAAGAAACTACTTATCTTTCACCTTGCACAAAAGTCAGCTCCAAATGGATCAAAGATCTCTTTTCTTTAGAAGAAAATATTGGCAGTAGTCTACAAAATATAGGTATAGGAAAGGACTTTCTAAATAAGACATCAGTTGCTCAGGAATTAAGGTCAACAATCAACAAGTGGGACCTCATTAAACTAAAAAACTTCTGCACAGCAAAAGAAGAAACCAAGAAAGTGAAGAGAAAACTCATACAGTGAGAGAAAAATCTTCACCAGTGACACATCTGATAGAGGTTTAAACATCCAGAATATATAAACAACTCAAAAAACAAAGATTCAAGAAAAGAAATGACCCAATTCAAAGATGGGCTAAAGATCTGAATAGAGAGTTGAAATAAAGATGGCTAAGAAACATCTTAAAAGGTGTTCAACATCGTTAGTAATTAGGGAAATGCAAATTAAGACAATTTTACGATTTCCTCTTACCCCAGTCAGACTGGCTAAGATTAAGAGAACAAAATGACACCAAATGCTGGTGAGGATGTGGATATTGCACTGCTGGTGGGATTGCAAACTTGTGCAACCCCTATGGAAAGCAGTTTGGAGAACTCTTTAAAAAACTGAAGATGAACCTAACATATGACTCGGTTATATCACTCCTTGGCATATAGCCAAAGGACTCACTTTATTGCAGAGATAGCTATACAACCATGGTTATTGCTGCTCTTTTCACAATAACTAAGAGATGGAAGCAACCTAAGTGTCCCTCAACTGATAAGTGGATAATGAAAATGTGGTACATTTACACAATGGAGTTCTTCTCAGCTGTAAGAAAGATGAAATAATGAAATTTGCAGGTAAATAAGTGAAGTAAAACATACTCAGAAAGACAAAATGTATGTTCTCCCTCATTTGTGGATCCTAGCACCAAATTCTTATATGTGAGTGTATATCCTGATGTAGCTACAGGAACCAAGAAAATGGAAAGTAATATGGGCGGTAAAGGGAAAGAAGGAACCCAAGGAGAACAGTAGGATACAGGTATAGTAATTGATAGAATATGGGAACCTCAGAAAACCACGAGTTTCATTAAAGGAGGCCATAAAGACATAAAACCATCAGAGTGGCTGTATTAGTCACTTTTCTGTTGCTGTAATAGAAACACTGACCAAAGCAATTTATAGAAGGAAGAGTTTATTTGAGCTTATGGTTCCAGGGGAGTTACAGTCCATCATGGCAGGGAGGCATGGTGGCTGGAGGTGGCTGGAGCAGGAGCAGCAGAAGCTAAGCTCTCACATCATCACGCAGGCACAGGAAGCAAGAGAGGAGCTGGAGATCCGGCAAGGCTTAAGAATTCTCTAAGCCCACCCCCAGTGACATGCTTCCTCCAGGATAGCCACACCCTCTAAAACCTCCCAAAACAGCACCACCATGTGGCGACAAAATGTCCAAATACTTGGAGCCTATGGGGGACATTTTCATTCAAACTATCAGAGTGGCCAAATGGCTCTAAATTATAAAAGTACAAAGTTCCCCCAGTGGCCTAATGCCTATAGACTAGAGGCCTGGCTCTGCTTACCCCTTATCAGTTGGTCACCCCCAAGCCTGAGAGAAAGTGTTTATGGAGCCCACCTGTCTCCTCTAGGGCCACAGATAACACTCCTGACAGTTTCTGGGGAAATAATCTTGAGAAGGAGACCCTCAATCACTCCAAGGACACCAAGCCTGGGCACCAACTCAACTCCCTACTAAGTGCAGCTGTGTCCCACAACCCTGGTATAAAACCCATTTTCTTTGTCTAGTTGTAGATGCTTTGTTCCCGCGGACAGCCTCTACCTCTCATTGTATCTTCTTTGAATAAAGGAAGATATGTTTTTTGCCTATTGCAGGTCTGGCTCTGGTTTCTTGTCTCTGACTCCTCTATCTTTCCTTTTCCAAAAATCTAACATTAATTAAAATTTCTCCCATTGTAAAGGGAGAAATGTGTAAAATAGGGGTATTTAACTGGGAAGGGGAGTGGGAAGATTATACAAGGAACTAAGGGGATAAAGGGGAAGAAGGAGCTCAAGAGAGGTGGGACCATAGCAGACAGGAATTATCAAGGGAGAAATGGGGAAAATAGGAGATGTCATGGAGGGAGGGTTAGACAAGGAGAGAGAGAGAGGAGGGATAAATAATGCCTAGCTAGTATAAAAAGTCAGAGGGAATCATATTAGTCCAAAAACCTATTGAAAAATTACACCTACAATATCTCTACATGAGTCCATGTGTTACATAAGAAACACTGCCAGATAGGAGAAACCTTCCTTTGAGTTGCTGACCAGGGTAGTCCTAGAAACTCCCAAAATTATACAGGTATTGCCATAGCCTTTGACTGCCTCCCAGAACTTGAAGTTAAGGTCCTACTGCTGAAGACAGGACATGCTTTGGACACAGGATTTGAACAAGGGAACTGGAACTGACCTGGAAGCCATCTCCCCTGAAGGCTAGCTCTCATAGCTTTGGAAAGCACTACACAAGTTAGTAAGGGAGATCATCAATGGTTGTTGGGTAGATGTGTCCTCTGAGAAAACTAGAACTGAACCTCCTAGAGAGGGACGCTGAGAAACGCTGAGCACACTGGGAAAAGGGGGAGGGGTAGTCGCCATTTTGGAATGGAGCTTGAGGACCCCGGGCAGGACTCAGGCTGATGGTGTGGATCTCAAATATCAGAGACAGAGTCCACTAGAGATGATGTAAGTGACCCTCTAAACTTTGTTGGCAAGCCCAAATACTTTTTTTTTTTCTCACACTGTAACTTAAAAGGAGCATTATGGTTTAGTTAGAACCATGCTCTCTGGCCTGCGGGTCTCTCGGGAAAATTTGGTGCAACAATGGTTCAAACCTAGTTCTAATGACCAGCACAGTAAACGACATTGGTGTAGTAGTGGCACTTTTATCTTGGGGGCAATCAATAGCTACCTAATTGGACTAAAAGCCTGCTCAATGGTAGGAAACTCATGTGTGGTACTGTAAACCTAGCCAAACACACACAGTTGAAGAGGTCATAGATCTTAGAGAAAACCCCAAGGCTGTCACATCCCTAGACAAACGTAATTTCTTGCTATGTGCAAAATATGGATCCTTAAATTTGCAGACAAGTACCCTAGTCACCACCCATCAAAGAAGCTTCTTTTTCAACAGAGATTATTACAGGCTTCCATAACTGGTCATACACAGAGATTGTCTGTGAATTGCCCAAGCCTACATGGCACATCTATGATGCAATCTCTACACCCAAGGCTCGTGAAACATAGAACAAGGGATAGAGAACACTAACACATCTTTCAGTTTTCATCAATGAAGCTCCCTCATGCAACCCAGGACCAGAAACACACACACGCACACACACACACACACACACACACACACACACACACATACACACACACACACAAGTCACAAATGGCCAAAAGGTAGAAAATAAGAGTCTATGGAGTGTGGGTCCTTAGACAGGACTCCTATATTAAAAATCCACCCTCCCAGGGCTCAGGGACCATTGTGGAAGAGGGGTGGAAATATTGTAAGAGCCAGGGAGGAGGTGCATGCCCATAAACTAGAGTCCTACAGGTACCTAGGACCCTTCTCATAGGAACCTACAGCAATGGTGTCAGCATGCACAAGACCCATGCAAACTCATGCAGACAAAAATCCAGCACAGAACTGTGGAAATGGACAGCGGATCCCCATGTTAGTTGAAGGATTATTGGTAGCTGAGAGGAAGAGCTGATCTTTTTAAAGGGAGGGACTCTAGATGGGCTGAATAGACCTCAGTGGATGTACTTGTACTGAGGACCATCAGGACACTAACTTGACATGAGAGGCCTGAACACAAATGACAGAATGTATGAAATCCAGTGGGGGGACCATAGGCAGGTGCTAATGGGGAAGGGAGTATAAAGTTGATTAAATGTTCTGTATGAAATACACAAAAATTTAAAAATAATATTTCAATATATATGTA